GGAAATTCACTTAATCAAACTCGGAGGTAAACAGAGCCCAAGCGAACGCGCGCAACCACTGAATGCGGTCTTAATGAGAGCGTGTGTGTTTTTGAACGCTTTTATACGTTTGCCTGTTGGTGATAATACCCTGCAATTTCGTTTATAATTAATCTAATTTACTGATTTTCTTTGACATTAATTGTAAACATGTTTGGCTATAATAGGTGATTCAATTTTTTTTATGTCATTTACAATAGAATGACAGGAAATTGTTGGAGATGGACTGAAACCTGCACTGTTCACATGACCATATATATACAGTATATGTATACACATGTATTTTTATTTTTGTACCACAGCTCACATTGTAAATGTACTTGAAATGCATTCCGGGTTTTATTATGTACCTCTAGGGTTCTTCATGTTTTTGCTGTATCTATTGAAATTGATGCGGTTCATCTCACTTTCAAACCTCTGAATGGGTGCTTTGCAATAATCTTTGAGTTAGCACAAGTGTGTCCACCTGTGTACATGTGTGTGAAGCCATTTGTTTGTGGCTATAGAGTGAGGAAAAAAACGAGAGAGAGATAGCGAGTGAGAGAGGTAAATAAAGGCTATATTTCAGGCTTGATTTACTCCGATACCTGCTGTGAAACATTACAGCTCTATGGGGAAATAAAGACAGGGGCCGCGAATTACAGCTTGTAATACTCATTCTGATAATGGCCTGTCCAACAACTACCATACACACACTGTACACAATTAAAGCTAATGCTTTAATGACGGCAGATGCGTTTTTGGCCTCTTCTGGCCATTATGACTGCCATCTTTCTTTACGCCTGCCCCAGCAATGCTGAAATTCACTTTTTATTGACGCTGATCACTAAAAATTTTCTGAAACTACCAAGGCCACCTTCGGGGCCCTTGCTTCGCCTTTCTCCTACTTTTCCTCAATCTGTCTCAATCCTGAACATTCCCTCTCTGTCGGGAGGAAAGGGTGACTGTATATAAATGAGAATTGGAAGTGGAGGGGTGTTCAGGGTTGCAGATGTCATTTCACACAGTGATATATTGCTCGGCTCGCGGTCCCATCGGAGAGTCCGAATGAGAGACTTCATCCTGCATACACACACTGTTTACCTAGTGAAATACATGTGTTAACTCAACACTGAACACAATCTGCAATGCATGACACAGTAGCGTGGACGCAAACGAGAACGAGGGACCTTTACGCCGTACGTAAAGCCTCTCAAGGGTTGAAACGCTGAGGTAAATATTGGTGGACATGGACATCCATATACAAAGACAAATTTCCCACATGCTGGATATTTCTGGACGAACCGTGGCCCCTTTTAGGAAAAGTCAGCTCACTCTGCGACCATATTGGTGTTTTCCAATAGGTCAGACAAAAATTTCCAAAACTGTTTGTCAAAATTGGATATGCATATGTCAAATCAGTAATAAAAATTGATCTATCTATCTATCGATCTATCGATCTATCTATCTATCTATCTATCTATCTATTGTTCTGTCATTCTATCTGTTCAATCTATCTATCTATCTATCTATCTATCTATCTATTGTTCTATCTGTCGTTCTATCATTCCATATGTCGTTCTATCTGTCATTCTATCGTTCAATCTATCTATCTATCCATCCATCCATCCATGCATCCAACTATGGTTCTATGGTTCTACCACATTCCATCCATCTATCTATCTATCTATCTATCTATCTATAGTTCTATGGTTCTGTCTATCCATCCATCCATCTATCAACCCCACCTATGGTTCTATGATTCCATCCATCCATCCATATTTGTATCATTCCATCCAACCATCTACCTATGATTTTATCTATCTATTGTTCCTTCCATCCATCCATCCATATATCTGTCTATAGTTCTATCCATCTATTTTGTTTTTTTCCCTCTATTGCTGCAAACAAATGGCTTTAAAAACCAATTTATCAAAAACTCAGTCGGCTCTTCTGACTTCCATTGCAACTTCTCCCATATTAGTTTTTTCTACAAGTGGTCTTCCTTTTTAACAAACCACTTCCTGTTATAAGGAGTGTGGCACCAGCTGTACGAGCCTTCAACTTCCTCGTCCCGTAAGCCCTCTTATCCGTCTTCCTTCTCTTGAAGGACTCTTGAAGTGTCTCTTTACCTCTTAAAAACACCAGGTTTTAGTTCTTGAGGTGCGCGTGTGCGAGGGCCCGTCCGATGGGACCTTCTTTGACTCTCGCGCGCACATGACATTTGCCGAACAGATTATGCAGTTAGTAATTTGTGCAATAATTACCGGGTGCTGTTGTCGTGGTGGCGGGGTGTGTCTAATTGTCTAACAGGACTGTAAGTTTTCGGGCCGCTCTCTCACCTCGTTAGGTCTCCTACCCCGTTCACCGGTCCTCGTCTGTGATGAGCAGGGCTCAGGTGTGCTGGTTTACCTCCCCATTGAGCACGTTAAGCCTTAATTACAGGGTAGAACAGGGGAGGAAAGAGGGGGGCGGAATAATAACTGACTTCCTGTCAGTGACGGGCAGATGGGTTCTGTGGGGAACTGTGGGATTTGGATGCGTCAGCCACACGGACAGACTGAAAAACAGATAAACAGAGAGACAGCGAGGTCGTGGGAGGGTGAGGAACAAAACACTAATGATCATTACTCTGAGGGGAATTATCTAGAAACAAGGTGAATCCAGCTGTCGGTTTGATCGCGCTTTTGTGCCAGTCGTGTTGTATGTGGACGTCCTGGACTCGCTCTGCTATGAAGTCTACGGTTGTATTTTGTGCTATCGATTTGTTCCGTGCCAGTTTTCTCCCGGTTTTGTGCTGGATTGATTGTCTAACTTGGAGTTTTCCCTCTCTTTGTATTCTCTTGCAGATTCTTTTTGAAATTCTTCCTCAAGTGTAATCAGAACTGCCTGAAGAATGCAGGAAACCCACGGGACATGCGCAGATTCCAGGTAATGTTTTCTTTTTCTCTCCACACACACACACACATCTCTAATTTGAAAAACAGGCCGCTTGCTGGGGTAGCTGTATCGTGTATCGCTTGATGGATATATTTAAACGTCTCCTCCAGAGATGCTTCGATTCTGCAATTCTGCTGAAGCACATTCCAAATGTTATGCACATAAAAATAAATCTATCTATCTATCTATCTATCTATCTATCTATCTGTCGTCTGTCTGTCTGTCTGTCTGTCTGTCATTCTACAATTCTATCTATCGCTCTATGCATATTTTCTTATGTAAAGGTCTAGGCTCCACAAATGTATCTGCACTATATATATCTACACTACTTTCATTCGTTTATATACCTCTATTTCTATGTGTTACCATTCAATCACAGAAGGCATTATTAGATACAGTACACAGAAAGGCCTCAGCCTTGGACTTCATTACGTGTGCCTGTGTGTGTGTGTGTGTGTGTGTGTGACAGCTCCTCGTAACCCAGTGCTGCGAGGATGTGTTTATATATACTTGTGGTTATATAGATGTATTGTCGAGCAGGCAGCAGTGGTGCAGCCGTTTGCACAACTTTCATTTTTCATGCTTTGGAACGTCAAGTGTCTTCACTGATATTGATCCATGCTTCCAGTGCAGAAGGTCAGAGCCGGCGAGAGAGGAAGTGTCCTTTCTGCCTGCACGCCGAGTAAAAGAAACATCCGTCACCGCGGATGTGCCTCCCCACAATAAAGTCACTGGACCTCTCTTTCTCTCGCTGTAACAGCATGTCTGGGTTTTCAACCTATTTACACTTCTCTGCCTCAGAACCTGGTTTAGGTGTGTATGTGTGTGTGTGTGTGTGTATGGAGAGCCATACTAATGCCACTGTATCTTCAAAGAGCACTCGTTTCTGTTCGTTCATTCACTCTGACTTCTCTCTTCTCCATCAGTCGCTGCCTGTGGAATCTGTTCTTATCTCCTCAAAACTTCCTTCACGGAAACATCACCCCTCACAACCAAAACATTCCCTTCTACACTCCACATTTTGGTGTTATTACTCAAAATAATTTAAACAACCCTGCGGGGAGAGCTTATGACAGCATCACTTTTTTGAAATCATAATCAGCAGACAATTCCAACCAAAAGCAGCCTGTGAGACAAATGACCCAAAGCCGTGATGCCTGTCAGTCTGTGAGCAGAGTCCATTAACAAGACACCTCTCCTCCAGCGCTAACCCTTAAACTGTGCTCTGCTAAGTTAAATGCCACCTCCAGAATAAATTTCACTCATGTTCCTTTCTCCATGATCTCATGGCAAGGTCGTGCTTTTGGGGTCCCTGTCTTCCCCCATTTGCCATTCCATTTTTCTTTTTTTCCTGTCCTGTCTTTTCCTCTATTTTTCCTGAGAGAAGTATACATCTAGAGGTCTATTCACACCATGTCTTTTTGACAGGACAGACATTTACAATTGTATTTAATGCAAAAAAAGGCTTCTGAACCTAATTCAATAAAATGTAACTGCTATTAGTTTTGACTTTTTATATTCACTTAGTTTTTCTTCCTATTCCATAGAAGTATTTTTTTTAAAAATTATATTTAAAATAATTGTTTATATTTTGTTCAACGATTAATATTATTTAACTAATAATTTGTTTTATTTATTATTTATATTTATTTATCATTATTAAATCATTTATTATTACATTTTTGTAATAATTGATACAATAAATAAAATTAATTTAATTAATTAATTTAATAAAATAATACACATTAATAAAAAAATAATACATTTTAATTTTTGTTTAAGTTGTTTTGATGCTGAATAATTGATTTCAGTATCCAAACAATACAAACCGTATCTATCTTTTTTGTTTTTTAAATTCAAAATGGAATTTTTTAAGTTATATGTACTTTTTAAATTATTTTACATTTCATTTTTATTTATAATTATTACATTTTAAAATGTTATTCATTATTTGTATTTTTTATTCAGATTTTTTTGTCAGTTGGTTCAGTGCTAAATAATTAATTTCAATATCCAAATTTTATCCTTCTCAATCAATTTGGCAATGCATAAAGTAGTTTGTGAACATTAATTGCATCTTATAGGCCTCAAGTATTATTCTTATCGTGACTCTTGATTGTGAATGTGACAGAGGGAATATTCCAGATTGTAACTGCTCCACTTCCACCTCAGACCCCCCACAATACGGCAACCCACCCCTCTGACCCCTCTCCTCATTCAGATGCTAAACAAGCCTCATTCTCTCAATGCAACTGTATGGGCAGCCCTCTTTAGTAAACAGATCAACAAAAACAAAGAAAACCCCCTCATCTGCTACCAGAGGGGCTCTTCTCAAATTCTCTTTCTCTTTTGAGGATCTGCCACCCTTCTCCATCACAGCCCTTACTCAGGCTGTGACTAATAAGATAAAACAGCTAATCAATAAATCTATAGATCAATGTAATGGGGTGAGTTAGCGATCTGTGGGCCGGAGGCTGCGTTTGAGTGGCTGCTAATGGATGATGGAGCAGATGAGAGACTCTCCGCTTATTTCTGTTCACCTTAAGTGGCAGATTAAACACTAATTGTAGCCTTTTGTTAAAAAAAGCCATAGTGCTTCAAAATGGAGGCCTCTCTTTGATTGACAAGGGCTTGGCTAGTTCTTCTCAGACAAGCCTCTCGTCCTTTATCTAACACGCGCACTCATGTAACCGCCCAAGTGTCTCCTTTAAATAGGAAAAAAGAGGCTCTCCTTCTTACAAAGGTTAATTATATTCTTCAAATGAGAAATTAAATGTGCTTTATATAGAGTCGATTCCTGTACGGCGCTTCGTTTGGCGAAAGAAATACAACGACCTATTGCGACCGAGGACCAGAATAAGACAATGTTAAACATTTTTCACCTTCATTAAGCGAATTTGATTTAGTGTTTGACACCCAGAATTAGTGTACTCCATTTTTGGAAAAGTACAAAGTGCTTTATAATGGGTCTTGAGAAATTTCAAGACCTGTTTGGAAACATGTCGAATGCCTGCGCGTTAATTTAAAGGGAACGTGTTTATTTGGACGTTTCTAAGCAGATTTGAGCCGTAGCTGACGGTAGCCTGTTCAAATTCAGGCTGGGTCATTAGCAGTCAGATGGCGTGCCAGCTTACACGAAGCGTATTGAACTGCGCGAGTCATCTTTCGTTGCTTAAGGTGTGAAAACAGACTCTTTTTTTCGGATTATAGTGATATAACTTATTGTTTTAATAATGTGAAGCCCGCGGGGAGTAGTTCCACCAAACCTTGTAAGACTGCAAAAGCGAGCAACTTTTCCCTTGTTTCGCTCCCTCCTGCTTGGCTTGGAAAATAAACAATGGGCACAGGTTCAAGCTCCAGCGCTTAGCGAGGCAAATGTGTTTGCGGTTATTGTTTCGAAGGTGTGGAGTGGTCGCACGGTTGTCAGCATTCAAAATAAAGCCTCGCTGGTACGGAGGAGAGAAGTCTAACAAACAAAGCCGCGAACGCGGTGTGTGTGGCGCGTGTGCGTCCGTGTCCAAAGGACCCTACTGATCAGAGATGCGCCGGGTCCATCCGCTAACTGTACTGAGACCTGCTCTCATGTTGAGTCGACACCACAGGCCAAAAAGGCTTTTTGTGTTTGTTTTCTAGCATATAAGACACACAACAAAGAGGGAGCTGAAAAAAGAGCCTCGGTTTCTGATAAAGACCAGCAGACGCCCTCAGAAGTGTTCTTCTGGTTTCTCTGCCCTTTAAGTACTCAGAAAGGCCTCTGGTCAAAAACAGGCCTGCTATTTTTTGGATGCCAAATGATTCATTTAGTTGAGTGAAGTATATTCTAAATCTAATAAAAAAAATCTAAAGTCTTTTGTGTTCCTGTGGCTCAGTGGTAGAGCATTGCGTTAGCAGCGCAAAAGGTCGTGGGTTCAATTCCCAGGGAACACACATACTGGTAAAAAATGTACAGCCTGAATGCACTGTAAGCCGCTTTGGATAAAAGCATCTGCTAAATGCATAAATTATTAATTATTAAATTATTATTATAAATTATGTCTAAACAGAGTCTGTTTATATCAAGAAAAACATGTGCAACATGATTTTAATGTGAAATAATGGATTTCTACAAACTCAAATTGTAATACAGCTATCAACTGTAATTTATTTATTTTTAATTAAGGAGTTTTAATTTTGTTTAATATAATTTATTTATGTATTTTTAATGAACAATTAATCTAATTAAAAATAAAGATTTTAATGTGAATCAGTGCATCTTTACTAACACTCACACCAAACTGAAACTAATGTGCAGCATTGTTCTTTTTTAATTTTTTGGAAGAATGCTTTTTGTCAGTTTATAATAATTAATGTATTAAATATTATTTAGACGGTGAACAATACATTTTTTAAAGACCTATTGATAACACTTTACTTAAAGCCTTATGTATAATGCATTATAAAGGTATTTATAATGTACGTTATATAGCATTAAATCTTATCATTAACAATTGTAACCAAAGTTAAAATAGTAGATTCCTGGTTACATTTGAAATGTGTTGTTTGTCATGTGTATAATACTTTCTAAAGGTATGTTCAATTAATAGATAAGTGTTTTAATGTTTTATACTGTAACTGTGGTTAAAATTATTCATGAGACCATACAATGCATTATAATGTGCATTGATTAATGTATTAAAAATACTTTTATAATACATTATATATAAAGGCTTTAAGTAAAGTGTTACCGACCTATTCATACCAAGTCAAAATGTTATGAACTTCTTCACACAAGGCCCAATGTAGAGACTGAACATTCCTTCAAACCATCTTTACGTTTTCTTCACAGGTCGTTGTATCGACAACGGTCAATGTGGATGGTCATGTGTTGGCCGTGTCGGACAACATGTTCGTCCACAACAACTCAAAACATGGCAGAAGAGCCCGCCGCCTTGACCCCTCAGAAGGTACGGCCACTCCTTATCTGGAGAATGGTAGGCACATTTCCCATAACACTATTATTTGCCAAGCTTTTCTCACTTTCTCCTTCTGTTTTCCTGCCTTTCCCTTTTCCCTTTTTCACATTTTTAGCTCACATTCTTTTAGTCATCCACATCCGCCTTTTCTCGCTCATCCACAAAACATAGTAGTGAAGCTTTAGAGGAAACATCATCTTTTAGAGAATATTCATGCTTTCTCTGTCCACTGAGTAGTACTTTTAGAACTTTTTAGTTTAGATTTGTGATGCTACCTGATTAATTCACTGTTTATATTATTATTGATTGAATTTTTAGAGTTTTTGCTATTTTTATGAATGATTTGGGGCCACGTTTTTTAATTATCTTCAGTTATATGTGTTATATATTTTTTGGTAATTCTGAAGATTGTTTCTTAAATCAAGTGTGGTGTGATTTTTGTCACATAGGCACAGACAGCAAATCAGCACATGCAAAATATTTAATAAACGCATTAATATTACATATTTTGTTTAATTTGAATATGCTTTCACTTTGCTACGTTTAATACATTTGACCATGAATATTCCTACAAATTTCATCCAGGCTAACACTGTATTTTTATACAATGAGTTTTTTTTGCTTCTTGGAGGTATAAAGCAAGTCACTGGATGGTAAAATTCAGATTTTGCTGCTTTGTTAGACTGAGCTGGTTTTGATCGTTCTACTTCAGTACTCAAATCTCTGGGCTAAGCTTTAAAACAGAACATAATCTCTGCTCATTTAAAAACATAACATTAGTATTTTCTTTGTCTTAATCAGTCTGTAATTACCATATCAACCAAAGTGCCAGTAATATTTAATGATGCAAGAGAAATCGCATCAAATCCCTGCTCGTGTGAGACAAAAAACCCAGCAAAAATATTTGTTTTCTATTTCCTGGCTTCTTGTATTAACGTCGGCGAAACGCAGTACAGAAGTAGCGTAATTGAACGTTTGTGCCCTGAGCGCTCGAGCGTTTGGTATGCTGACGTATTGTTTGTCTCTCTGCTGTAGTCGCTTGATAGTAGGTGTGTTTTCCTTAGCAACCGCCTTTAATTAGGAGAGCAATTAAGAAGGTTGAGGCCTCTCCCCTCGTCTGCCTGAGTCCCGTGAGACCGAGAGGGAGAAAGAAAGAAAAAACACGGCCCAACCCAAACACTGCCGAGGCTATCCTTCATCAAAGCCCGGTTTGCAGAGCCCTTTTTATTGTAAATCTTTTTCTAAGCTTCCATTACTGTGTTTACAACCATCGTATAGTTCGGATTTCAGTGGTTTTATTGTGCTTGGGAAAAGATCGTTCATAATTTGTGATTTTATCGTTTCCATCAAAACTTGCTATCGCTAGGCCTCGCATACGATATTCATAGAATTAATCCGTTCCCACTCGCGGTGAATTCTGACAGCACTGTAACAAGTGGTGGCGATATTCCTGACAACTCTTTTAAATTTCCGACTGTTTTAAAAGCTCACCTCCTCCTTAAACACCCACCGGCCTCGCAGGCGCGCGCTCTCACCACTTAGTTACCTGCTGTTTCACCCGCCCCGATGGCAAATTTGGGTCGTAGTGAATATTACAGCTACCTATCTAATATCTGGCCCTTTAAGGGCAACTGGGGGGCCGTTAAAACAGAAAGAAAGAGTTTCCTAGCATCTGACAGTTGCCGAACTTGGCGTTTAATCACTTCTTTAAACTCGGGAGAACGTTTAAAACTTATCATTCGGCCGAGAAGGAAACTCAAGAACCTGTCATCTCTTTCCATTCTGGTCTAGAAGTGCACACATGTACAGGATATATAGTCGTAAAATATAAATTCATCCATATTTACGGTCAAGCCCGGGCCTGCGCCGCAGATACGGGGTGGTTTAGATTAGAAACACATTCTTGAAAGTGATAAATGCAAGCCGAGAGAGCTCGAAAGCGGCCACGGGGAGGTCCTACCGTTTCTCCTTTCCTCTCACACTTTTATCTAATCATCTAATTCAGGCGAATTTTCCCGGACAGTGAATTTACTCTGCCTTCTGATCTTCAACTTAAAGTAATTCCCTCTTGCATGGCCCAGCAGACCCTCACCGTTGCCGTGCTTTCTGAGCACATGAGCCCCTTTCATTATTTACAGCTGGAGAACAAAACCTGGGGGAGGAGAAAGAGGCGAGCACACACTATAGGAGGGTTTCTTTTGCATTAGCGCCATTTAGATACGGCACGCAGAAACATATGTACGAATTCACACAGGCGCGAGTGTGCGTGCACGCACTCGCATCCAAAACGGCCCCATCTGCACATAGCCAGACACAACATACACAATCGACAGCCCCCTCCCTTGTCCAAAAGCACATATTCCCAGATTTGGAAACCACCTAGCGTTGGCTCTGCGAATATAGCGATGCGCAAGACAGAAAAGAGGAGCAAGACATTTAGAGCGAGCAAAAGAAAGTCTCTCTTGCGGCGCATGCACCCCCTCCAGTCTGGGCCTACAGCTCCGGGTTGATTTGCATACCAAGTGGCGGTAATGTTGTTAGGTTTATGCAATAAAGACGAGCGGTCGGCGTCTGTGAGGCCGTAGCCAGTTAGAGAGGACAGATGGGCCGACGTGAGGTAAGAGCTCTAATCCCATCAGCGCCGGGATCAGCCTGCCATCTGGACATCCCCTGCACAATTACAAGACATTTTACGTGCTGGAACAAAGGAAGGTTGCAGCAGGCAGGATGGGACCTGTTAGAGTGCCTCAATATTGGGGAGTGCAGCGAAGAAGGTGACAAACACGCCGGCCGCCATGTTGCCATGGAAGACGACTCAAGTCTGATTAAAGCTTCACACCAAGATGCCGTGGTGTTCTGTAAACAATACACACGGGAAAACACACACACGCTCACACACAGTCTTGCTTGTTGACCATCCACTTCAGACAGAGGAAGCCCGTCGAAACAAAGCCAGCGATTTCTCTGAGCGTAAAGAACTACCATAAAATTAGTCAATACATTTATACATCCATGCATATGAATTTTACCACACTTTATTGATTTATAGTGTCAATAACATGCACATGTATACTGGATACTATTTTTTATAAATAGTAAGTGAAATGGTGACCATCAAAAATTATAAATATTTTATAAATAAATTTGGAATCACATGATCTCTTTATGTTGCATGTGAGTGGCATCCAGATATTATCTTAGAAATAAATGGTTATTTTGCCATTTTTTAATTATGTTTGTGTAAAAATGCAATATTTGTTGCAGCAATTAATATCATATTTTAAATATTAACTAATATAGTTACAATTTTAAATACTAAAGAATGTATGATTTACTACCACAACATTTTAATATCATATTTATTAAATATTGAATTTTAAATAAATAACATTTGTAATATGTTTAAATGTGATAAATAATACTTAATATATTATCTTATATTTATACTTGTATTAACATTAAATATATAATTACATTAATATAATATACATACCCTATTATATTTTATATTTATTAAATACATTAAATATATTATTTATGATATTATTGGTTCTAACCAATAAAAAAAAAAAAATGTAAATGCATTGTGGGATACTCCATGTAATGTTAGTTTCTATTACGAACACAGAGCAATCTACATTCCCTGCTAAATTGTTCTCCCATGCTAAAACACGTTCCTGCCCGTCACTTCCTAGTGGAGTGTTGAACTTGGCCTCTTCGGGCCGCCATAGACCATGTCCGCTTTCTCCAATTTCCATCATCCGCTTGAGTGCATTTCGCACGTATATCATTAGCTGACGAACACAGGCTGTGTAATTCACTCCTTTATGCTTCCCATTCAACACATGTTCCCTCTCTATATTCACACAGAATGTATGCAAATGCTCTGCGGCGGAGGGGCGAGAGGTCTGGCAGCCCTTTCTCTGGGATGGCGGGGGGGAGCGTTACGAATTCCGAGGCAATGCGTGGTGATCTCAGGCCACAGCTGCCAGACTGCCCCTCTCGTGGGCCCGTTCTCACCTCGCACACGCGCAGACACGCTCACGTGCACGCACTCCTTTCCTTCTGCTCACCTACACAAAGTAAATTTGTTTACTGTAATTTTTGGTGAATGATTTGCTATAATTGGTTGCGCTGATGAAGGTCAGTCCCAATGAGGAGTCGTGTCTGTCTTTGGAGACTTGATCCTCTTTCAAACGCTCTGCCTGCAATTAAGAAAAGCAAATGTCATTCCCAAGCCTCAGAAATGAAAATTTGTATGAACTTATTAGCATGAAGTCAACAGCTCTAGTTAAGGGCAAGCTCCCAGTGTGTGTGTGAGCGAGCTCAGGGCTTCTGGTGCTCTGGGAGCTGAGAGGAATGAGTAAATATAACCTCCACTAGTCCAACATTAAGGCAAACAAAGAGAGCTGCCTTGTCTGGGCTGTTCTACACAACAATACCAAATGTTGATTAACTAGGGCTGCTAGAACAGCAAAGAGGCAGGAGAGAGAAAGACCTGCACACATAAGTGCTTAACCCTCCAGGTTTACCTCGTGTAACAGTCATAAATATATCATTTATTGCGTTATTAGTGACCATGACCATCCACATGAACAAACCCCTAACCTTAAGTATTACATTTGGGCATGTAACGTGTCCCAGACCAGTGCTACGACTTCTGTTCACCATGTGAAGCATTAAACAGGCAAACAAGTCAAAGGACCCCAAGCCATAGGGATTAGACTATTATAGGGATTTTGGGGTCTCCTTTAAAAAAACAAAAAAAACAACATGTAAGAATTTTTATGTAGTCATATTTTATTATTTATGATATGATTTTAATGATTTTAGCATCCCATTTTAAATTATTCTTTAAATATATTAAACATATTAATCAACAATGGGCTTTCAAAATTATTAAAAAAAATATGAATATCAAATTAAATTAATAATAATTTATAATATATACTTTTATTTATAAAACTATTACATAAATAATATATAATTTTAAATATAGTTTTATTTATATAAATTTTAACTATAATTTGCAATACATATGATTATAATTATTTAAAAAACTGAGAGCAGCATGAGTATTTGGATAAGTGTTGTATTGAATATTTTTTGGTGATAAAATGATGTCAGAGTCTGTGGGCTGATGAAAATGATGTCAGACACTTTTAATGGAGGGGAGAGATTCTAAGCTGAGAGGGTTTCCAAAGAAGCCAACCATTTTCTGTGCATTATTAATAATCTCCCTGAGACCTTAAAATCTAAAAGCACAATGCCATTGTTTTTTCCCTGGAAAAGAAATGAAGAGAGTGGGCAGGGAAAGCTGTAAAATAAAATGAAAACAGCTCAAGGTGAAGGGCTATTGTTGCGGTTGAATTGTTGGACAGTATTAGCGGCGTGTTGTTGTATCTGCGCTCTCTTTGCACTGGAGTTCGTATTCAAAAGGTGCTTTAGAGGGGGTGGCAGAACAGAGTCAACACAGTGAAGAGGAAAAGCTGATCAAAGCATGCAGCGCTAAGATGTTAACGGGGGGTCGAGTCGCCCTGGGCCTCTGACCGCTTACAACTGTGATAGCACCTCTCGACTCCGCAGGGGTGGAGGGGGGCAGTACAATAATGTATGCTAATGAGCCATTGGCTAACTTCACGACAAAGGCGGGGTCAGAGCCAGGGCCTCATTTTCTCATTTAAGAACACGTGTATGTCACCATTAGCACGATTTCAAACGTAAACCTACAAATCCCACCTCATCTTCTCTAAAATCTGATTTTAAAGACCCCAAAAAGTACTCATTACCAAAAGATAAGAGACACAGGAAGATAAAGGGTTGGAAGAGAGGAGAAAGTTGGAAGTTTTTAAACCAAAGGCGAAGTTTGCGGATGAAAAGGCTCGACCCAAATAGCGGGTGCATGAAAAATCGAACCCCCGCTTTTCTGCGCTCTCCGCCCATGCAACCTTTTGATTGACTGATCTCAGATCTGTGAAAGCCCGACAGATAAATCGACGGTCCTAGCGCGCACAGTGCTTAATCATCAGTAACGGCTGCATTTGGTCTAGCGTATCCGTACGGCGGTTTATCTGCTAGATGGGCACTAGGCACATCAGTCAATGTTTTCTTTTCCCTCTCATTGTGTTAGCGAACAGTTTAATGGCTGATTTCTACATGGAAGGTTTGATGCACAAAGCAGGCCTTTTGTCTTTACGTGGCCCAAATCATTCATGCTTTGTTTACTTTAGGGTTTGATTATCCTCAGCGTGAGAATGATCTGCATGTGGCTAGCGCATGTCCGTACAAAAGCGGGATCCTGAGAGTTGTGCTTTTTGTCCTGTTATAAGCAGCTACCCCGTGCATAAAGGCCATTAGCCCCAGTGAAGGCTGGACCACTGGAGGAGCCACGGTCATCATCATTGGCGATAACTTCTTCGATGGACTACAGGTCGTGTTTGGCACCATGCTAGTATGGAGTGAGGTAAGACTTTGGTGTAAAACCATTTTATTGTGCATGAGGTATTTGCCCAGCCATTTGTTTCTGTAATAGCATTCTAATGAACTTCATTAGATTTTATAAAAAGCGATTACGTGAAAACTGTGATTATACACAGTTTATGAAGCCCGGCTTCTACCGGTTTAATGCAATTACGCTGGCATCCGTTTATTGTCTCTTTACATTTACTTTTTGTTCATTTCACGCCACATAAACATATAAATAAGAGTGAACTAAAGGGATGCCGAAGCTGCGTAGTAATTAGTTCGGAGCTAATAAAGACTTCAGGTTAGTGTGTTCCTTTATGAGTTGATAAAGCTGTCTGGCATATATTTGCCGGTTGGAGCCTCAACGAGCCAATCAGCATTTGTTTATTCGATTTATTTTATGATTTTTCTTTTCCTAGTTTAATCACAAGAGCAGATAAGGAGTTAGATAAACAAACTGCATGCTAAACAGCCCCACAATAAGTCCACAGAGGCCTCCGCCGCGTTCCTTGCCGAACCGTGAGGTCTTTCAAAACAATTGAACAATTAGGGGTGAAATATCTCAGAGGGGGAAAAACAAGCCAGGGAAAGCAAGGAAAACAGTGAAGGAAAGACATATGGAGGTGATTTTAGCAGGACTCCTGCCCCTTGGCCTTTCCTTGGCTCAGTGTAATCCAAGGTCTGTTTGCTGACATTAACTCTAAAGCGAGGAAAATAAAAATGAAGAAAGTTTGCAGTTTGGTTTTGAATAGCTTCTCCTTGACAGGTTAATGTATGATTCAGGCGTTCGAATTTGTGCAACAATTGGCAGGGTCCTAACCTAGTTTGCCCACTGTCTGGTAATGCCGTATTTCTGAGCTGTGTAAGTAAAACCCCTCAAACAACAAGAAACATTTTTTGAAGAGTTTTGAAGTGTTTTAAAGGGTATAGTTTCTACCTGACAGGCTACTTGACAATTAGAGAAACACTGGTGCTCATTGGTTAAATGTTTTCATTGGATGCCAGTTGTTCAAAACAATGCAGCAATTGGTGCAGTTTGCATGGTCCTAACCAACTTTACCCATTGTCTCTCGTAGCTCATTACGCCCCATGCCATCCGAGTGCAGACCCCTCCAAGACACATCCCGGGCGTCGTAGAGGTCACCTTGTCCTACAAGTCCAAGCAGTTCTGCAAAGGTGCACCGGGGCGATTTGTGTATACAGGTGAGCTTCAGTTGGTTCTCTCACATCTTTGGCTCCATCCTTAAGTGCTGAACCCCATCCGGTGTGGGATGCATGCCTCTGTAACCCAATATCTCCTCCATCTAAGGCAGGGCAATGGAGTTGGGGGCAGCTGCCAACTCCAGTTAATCTCAAACCCTGACAACACATCTCCGACCCCGTTCTCCTGCACCCTGTCCTCTACTTTGCACAAAAACACTAGTGTTTCTTGTCGCCCAGGTTACTCATGTGTGCATACCTATGTGTGACCAGCTCACAAGGTTGCGCTTTGTGCGGCTTTTGGGCCGATTGTGTTTTTACGTGGTCTTAGATGAGAGTAATCTCTCCCTCGGTACAGCTGATACTGGAGGTTACACGGTCACACTGTGTTTGACCTGGAAGCAGTGTGCCTGATCCCAAATTGAGTAGGACAATGAGATAATCATCAGGAATTACTCTCACACTCAGGAATGTCAAGGCCGAGAGAGAGAGGGAGAGAGAGAAAATGACACAGAGAGAGAGAGGGATGTGAGGAAGGGGCCCCGGTCCCCCCAGGCAGCTGTTCCCCATCTCAGCCCCACAGAGGCTGTGGGCCGATTCTCCCTCCCACATTTAACCCTCTCAGCAGGAGCAGGGCAGAGGCCAACGAGCCCCTGCGATAATGAAACCCGAGAACACGGGGCCGGCTAATACCAGACCTGCTCAGACATTAATGTCTGCCATCGTTAAAGCCACAGAGACTCAGGGACCAAACATGTGCTAATGCTAATAAGCACAAAATAGGGAGTCTGTGTCAAATTCAGCACACATTATAATGTTTTGACGAACCTGTGCGTCATCAGCCCTAACAAAAACTGACTGTGGTAACCATAGTTACCGATCATAGTAAAACTTGGGCTGTGTCCAAAATCAAAACAGCTGCTTTGCTGCCTAGTCAATCAATGACTAAACATGCAGTGTGTGTGTGTGTGTGTTTAACAGACAAGCTTCTAAAGCACTGTCAAGTCTTGTGTTCTAGATTTAAACCAATTTTAAGTTCTTTAGAGATGATCAAATATTTAATTACTTCAATGCTTATTTGGTATATAAATAATAAAAAAAAATAGTTTATATAAACAGTATATACAGACGTTTATACTGTATAATTATATTGCCTACTCAAAGTTTACTGGAGGCCATTATAGAAGACAAACCATCATCTGTCAACCCCACCTTCCCCTGTCTTCATGAGATGTTTGTTGTTTGTTTTCCCTCACTGATCCTTGTTCCTGCTCATCAGTGAGGAGATATAATTACTGGCGGAGATTTTGAGGTCTTAGTTAATTATCCCCTCGAATTAAAGGAGGGAAGTCACAGACTACACGCCCCGTCCCTCTCATCTTCTGAACTGCAATCCCCATAATGCCTCACCTCCCTCTCTGAGGTCACAAATGACAGGCAAATCACAACACAGACACACACACACACACACACACATGCTAGACTGGATTCAATCCATGCTGTTATAAGGCTTAATCAAACTGGTTGACATTTCAAGTCAATTAAGTTCCCCTTCAAAGCATATTTATTAATGAATGTTCTTAAATATGCGACTATATCAAAAAACAGTTGTTGTAATTATGATTATTTTCTTTATTTTCTACATTTCAGTTTTTTCTTCTCCTCTCCTATCTTCAGTTCTTAAACACTTGTAAGTGCTATCAATCGAAACTAATTGCTCGAGTTTATGCCTGTAATTAGTTCATAAACAGATGCTTTGAACTGGAAAAGCTAAAAGCCTTCACTAGTTACAGCTCTCTCTCTCTCTCTCTCTTTATTTGTGGATATTTGCTAAATTGTGTAAAGGCTGGATATTTTACAAATTCATTAAGGAAAAAAAGGTACAAACAGTATTTTTGTTGGGCGTTACAACATTTCATGCTGACCACCCTCTTGTTTCTGAGTCAAACACACCCTCGCTGTCAACTGATAAATCACGGCCAATTAAATACAGTGCTGTGGCCTCCTTATGCAGGGGCGTAGTACATTCAGATATGGCCTTTATCATGTCTAGCTTACAGCAACCATCTGTTGAGTGATGTATGCTGTAATTTCACCATTTACTTAAATTGCTTTTTTAAATGCATATTTAGGAGGTTTATTTAAATATATATCTAATATTACTTTAAAATCATGATGCATTGGGTGAAGTATAGGGTGAATTTCACAAAATACGTGCATATCACCCCTATGTGTGCATATTCATTATTTTTTAAGGATTTTTTAATGCATTATGTTTTTTACAACAATTACATATTTCAGTAAAATTAGTGTAATACAGTGTTTAATTTAAATCATCATGAATATAAATAATACAATGATTATATTATAAATATAATTGTTTATTTATTTTTTGTTTATTCTTTGCATTATGGGGAAAATGTGCTTATGTCCGTGATGGCTTTTTGTGTGATTCCCTCAGAAAGCTTCATCGCCCTGCGATAGTGTCAGTGCTGAAGGTGTTGTAAAAGGTCCTTCGTGTTCGCTCAGATGTGGCGGCAATCGCCTGTCAGAGTGCCGTGCTACTTTAAGAGTCGATAATTCTCCTCCATCACGGCCAACACAAGCCGCCTGTCTCAGAGGTCAATGCTCTTTAAACAAATTACTCTGCTCAGACTCTGAAAGCGGCTCCTAATGTCCTCCGGTACTCTCCAACGCCTCTTTCTTTGACACAGCTAAACAACAGTGAAATTAAACACGCCGCAGAGATCCACCAAGACCTGGGGACATTAAAGAGGGCCTGTGATGGGATGTCGGCATCCCGTAAGGTTACGCAAACGGTTCTCGGTAGTTTATGAGCTGCCAGAACTGGGCCTAAAACAATGTGTTATTCAATAGCCGTCCATTAACACTCAGATCTACCGCATGTGTGTGTTTGTGTTAGGGCTATTTACGGCTCCGGGTTCTTATCGTCTTCATTTAAAAGGAAACACTGCAGTGGTTTATTGAGTCCGCATCCCTTTGTATCCTTCAAAGATCTGTGTGTTCTGTTATTTTTTCAGCTTTAACCTTGTATGTTTGTACGATCGTGACTTTTGTTAACACAAGGCCACCGCTGCGCCATCTGATACCTGTATTGGTTATCCATTGATCAGGTCTGGCATGGAACAGCTTGTCAGAAGGGTCCATAAAAAAAAAATAAAAATCAAAGCAGGACGGCTGTGTTTGTCCCTTTGCCAATAGCTCTCAACTCGCAAATGCTCTCTTTAGCTGATCTGGCTATTTTAAAAAGCCCATCCAGATGTTCGCTTTAAATTCCTCATGAAATGGCTTGATGAGTGCAGTTTTTTTCTTGTGTTGATGTATTTTCTATTGAAACAGGAATTTGGACCAGGACATATATTTTATTTTTAATAATAATAATAATAATAATTCTAAAATATGATTATATTTTATATTAAAATAAAACATAACTATAAATATAATATATTTAATATATTT